ACCATGACCTGAAGATGCCCCACGATAACCTGGGCGGGGTGACTGAGCAGGCCTGAAAGAACGACATCTACCCTGCTGGAACTGGCCCCTCGAAGGAGCACCACTGTAACTGCCAGATCCTCGAGACCTCTTGGCCTCCGTCTCCTCTCGCTACCTACGGTGAACCGTCTCAATCTCATGAGCGATATCAACCACCTTCTCGAACGTAGCACCCAATACTGTCTCCCTAGTCATCAAAATACGGAGATGGTAGTTAAAGACATCCACAAATCTCCTGATCCTCTCACAATCTGTCGGAATCATCCAAATGGCATGACGAGCCAACTCAGAAAACCTCATCTCATACTGGGTCACGGTCATATCCCCCTGCGTCAACCACTCAAACTACCTACGCAGCTCCTCTCTACGGGATTACGGTACATACTTCTCCAAGAAGAGAGCGGAGAATTGCTTCCAAGAAAGGGGTGTTGCACCGATATGCCTACACCTTTCAAAATCCTCCCACCAAGTAAAGGCAGCCCCCGAGAACTGAAATGTGGTAAATGCTACACCACTAGACTCGAGGATCCTTGTTGTACGAAGCATCCGCTGACACTTGTCAAGAAAACCCTGGGCATCCTCGCCCCCAGCACCACTGAACAACGGAGGTTGGAGTCTACCAAACCTCTCAAGACAACGCTGCTCATCATCCGGCATAACTGGTACCATGAACTCCTGAACTGGTGTAACCGACTGAGTTAGAGGTGCCCCCGGCGTTTGTAGTCCCTGCACTACTTGCTCAGGTGTGCGAGTAGCGGGGGTTTGATTGCCTCCCCCGGCCTGTGAAGTAGCTTCTACTGTAGTGGCTGAAACTGCCTCAACCAGGCCAGTGCAGACTGATAAGATATGTTCCAAGGCCTCCTGAAGACCCGGAATCACGATGGGCATAGCTGGTGCCTGAACTGGTGCTGTTGGAGCCTGATCTGAAGGCGGGGCAACTGGGGGATCAACAGGTGTTGCCCTCGCTGCTCTGCCTCTGCCACGTCCACGACCGCGTCCCCGGCCTATGGTGGCCTTAGTGGGTGGCACTGGTGGTCGTCCACCTCGTCCGGTAGCTCGCGTCCTCACCATCTGTAAGAGAATGGAATAACAGAAGTTTAATTCTCGGATCAACAAAGTCGCATGACCAGAATTTCAAGAATATGAAGTTTTTCCTAAAGGTTCTGCAGCCTCTCGAGGATAAATACAGACGTCTCCGTACCGATCCGCGCGACTCTACTAAACCGGCTCATGACTTGCGAGACATATGTAACCTAGGCTTTGATACCAACTTGTCACGACCCAGACCCTGGTCGTGATGGCGCCCAACACACTGCTGGGCAAGCCTGACCAATTAGCAACCTCAACCCATTTCTTATATAGTTCATTATTAGCTAACACAATTAAATTTCCAAACACCATATTAACAGTCTGAAACCAGAGTTAAATAGGAGAAGTTTCAAATGATAAAACTACTACTGCATAGCCCATATAGATCCGGTGTCACAAGTCTGAGCCTCTAATACCAGTTTATCACCCTAATACATATTAATCTAGGGAATGTGGATAAAACAAAAGGATAAAAGGGAGAGATCAGGCCTGCGGACGCCATGCAACTACCTCGATGCTCCCGGATATGCGCTGCTCAAAACAGTAGTTCTCAGTCCAAAACATCATTTAATATATATCATTTTTGTTTCAAAACCGAGTAAAAATGGTTGAGTTGTAAAACAATAAAAAACGGAAAGACTGAGTTCAAGTAGTAAATCAAAACAGTGAGGAAATAGTGATAAGACTCCCCAGAGGGCTCAAATAGTTGGCACGAAGCCCAAGTATGGCAATCAGTCCAAACAATGATGATAACAAATAAGCTTCAATCAAAATGCGCGGTAAAAGCATCACTCGGGACTGACCAAGTCACAAACCCTAATAGTAAATGACCCACGCTCATCATCAAGCGCGTGTCTCACCTCAATATAGCACTGCGATATGCAAATCCGGGGTTTCAAACCCTCAGGACATCATTTACATTCATTACTCACCTCGAACCGGCTAACTCTCTAGCTCGCGACGCCTTTGCCCCTCGAATTGGTCTCCACGCGCGTCGAATCTATCCAGAATTAGAACGAATACATCACAATATGCTAAGGGAATAAAGCCCAAGCGAAAACATTCGAAAAATATCAAAAATTCAGAAATTAGCAAAATTCGATCCCCAGGCACATGTCTCGGAATCAGGTAAAATTTACATTTTCGGAGTCCTCATACCTTCACGAGTCTACCCATACCAAAATTATCCAATTCTGATACCATTTGGCCCTTCAAATCATCATTTTATATTTTTGAAAGGTTTCCCAATTTTCTTCCCAAATCATGAATTCGATGATTGATTCATGTACTCTAGCCAAATCTGAGTTAGAATCACTTACCTCGATGAATTTCTTGAAAAACTTTCGAAAAATTGCCAAAATCCGAGCTCTCTAGGTCAAAATATCAAATACAACTCAAAACCTAGTATTTATAGAGTACCCCTTAGATTTCAGCCTGCACGGGCCACACCAAATCGACCGCGGTCCGCACAAGCCAGTGCGATCCGCTCAAAAACAACCGCGGTCGCATATGCCTTCCTTTGCAGTGACAAGCTTTAGTATTTTGGCCATAACTTTTCACAGATGTCCAAATTGTGATATCTTTACCTTTCTGGAAACTAGACACCAAGGGTTACAACTTTTGTTTTTAAATCATCTCGAAAGTCCTTGTAGATCAAAAGATATGAGCTTCCGAAGTAGGACCAGTGAATCATTCCCCACCGCGGCCGCACACCATTTTGTGCGGTCCGCATGACACCTACCGCGGCCGCACTTCTTTTTGTGCGGTCCACACAGCACATACCGCGGCCGCACTTCTTTTTGTGCGGACCGCGCGGGTGATTTCCGAGTCCTGCAACCCTCCTAGACCTGCTACAACTATGATTTTCGGCCTAAAACATCCCGGAACCTACCCGGGACCCCCAAAATTTCAAACTAATTGTACCAACACATCCCATGATATCGTTTAAACTTGTTCCACACTTCGGAACACTTACAACAATATCAAATCACCAATTTAACATAGGATTCAAGCCTAAGAACTCTTAAATTATGCTTTCGCTTAAAAAGTCTATCAAATCTCGTCCGAATGACCTGAAATTTTGCACACATATCCCAAATGACACAACGAAGCTACTGCAATTCTCAGAATTCTATTCCGATCCTTATATCAAAATCTCGCCTATCAACCCAAAATTATCAAAATATCAATTTCGCCAATTCAAACCTAAATCTCTTCTACAACTCCAAAACCCATTACGATCGCGCTTCTAAGTCACAAATCACCTCCCAAAGCTAACCGAACCATCGGAACTCACTTTCGAGCCTTCTAACACATAAGCCAACATCCAGTTGACTTTTCCAACTTAAGCCTTCTTAAAATAGACTAACTGTCTCATTTCTTACCAAATTCTCTCCGAACTCGAACTAATCCACCCGATCACATAAAACACGGACGAAGCGTAAAGAAGCTAAAATAGGGGAAAACGGAGCGGTAGCTCATGAGACGACTGGCCGGGTCGTCATAGGAAGGAATGGTTATGGGGGCACGCTATGATTTCCTCCTTTTACTGAAGGACGTGGGTTCGAGACTCCGTTCAAACTTTTCACCTTCCTATTCCTATTTTTTACACTAATTCCTATTTTGTACACTAAATCAAACAAGTTTAAATCACCCTCTTATTCCTATTGTGTACACTAATTCTTAGTGTACTAGAGAACTTTATTTATTATTTTTATATTTTGTTGAAGCAAATTATAGTTTAGTATTACTTAATTAATTTTATTCTCTTCAAATTCCTCCCTTAAAATTAAAAAGCTTCAAATTGTAACTTATTACTCCATAAATAAAAAAATACAAATCATTTTGCCACCGCCTTCTTTTTTTTTTTTAGAAGAAGAAGGATGTGACTTTATTTATTACTTTTATATTTTATTGAATTCAAATGTAGTTTAGTATTCATGCATAATAGTCAAGTTAATTAATTTTATTCTTTTTCAAATTCCTCCCTTAAAATTAAAAGCTTCAAATTACAACTTATCGCTCCACAAATAGAAAAATATAGATCATTCTACTACAACCTTCTTTAATAATCACTTTGACAAGGGAGCGGATATCCGTCAACTCCGACTCGGCAATGGAAACTAAGAGTTTGAGACTCTTTTTTAGTTCTTTGACTATTAATATGCCCTTAATCTTGATTTCTTTCGTAAGTTTTTGTTAATTTTTGAAGTTTGAACACCTTTTTGATCACTGACCCTTTTTTTATTTGAGAAAAAAAAATCAAAAATTTAAAGTTTGAAACAGGTTTAAATCAAACACTTTTCCTTCATGTAGCACCAATTTTGCTAAAAAAAAATCTTTCTTTCGGTGCTTTCTCTTTCTTTAGAACTTCTTTTTGTTTATACTTGGATGATTAGTCATAATACTTGTTAAGATTTCAAAGAGTTGCACATCAAATTTTATTGCTAATAATTAGTATACAATGGTACTCCTGCTGTGCTAAAATTCTGGGTCCATCTCTAGATGTATAAGGGGTAAACATGAACCTAATGTATAATTGTAGGGATATTTTTGATAGAAAACTTAAATGAATTATAAATAAGGCCTATTTTTGATAACAAAGGGGGTAAATGAGACCCTTTGTAAGCACGCGATTTTTGCTTTACGAGCAATCGCTCCAAAAGAAAATAAAAATAGTGACAAATGATTTCGCTGTTCAATTTTTCGATCTTTANGTCCTTTAATTGGAAAAAACTCCCCCTGCGTCCTCCCGGGCGCGGAAAAAGGAGGTGTGACACCCTTAACCGTATTTTAAATTAGGGGAAACCGCGATAGATCAGAACACCACCCGCTAAATTAGGGCACACCACGATTCCTTAGCCAAATCGAAGATGAGGAGAATTCCTCTGCTGCATTACTGTTCCTATACTATTCGCTTTAGCTCATGCTTTGCTATTTCCCGTTCTGTTTCGGCATTTACAACCAGAGATTGTTCTTCTTCTCATAGCAATACATCCATTCCGCCAAAGAGTAAAATTGGGGTAGCTAGCAGGTTTGAGAACGTCAAGTGTTTAGATGAAGCTGTGAGTTTATTCCATCGAATGCTAAGAAAGCAGCCTCTTCCTTCTGTTTTCGACTTCTCCCAATTATTAAAGACTATGGTAAATATGAAGCATTACTCTTCTGTTGTTTCCTTTTTTCGAAAAATACTGAAATTAGGCACCCAATTAGTGATTCCATCTTGAATATAACGATTAACAATTATTGCCTAATGCATTGTTCTGACTGTGGATTTTCAGTGTTAGCCATTTACTTGAAGAATGGCATGCCATTTGATGTTATCACCTTATTAAGGGGACTCTTTACTGAAAATAAGATCAAAGATGCAGTTGTCTTGCTCAAAAAGTTAGTGAGAGAGAATATATGTGAGCCTAATGAAGTCACATATTTGACCGTCATCAGTGGGCTTAGCAAAATGGGCCATACTCAGAAAACTTTTGATTTGCTTAAGGTAATGGAACAAGGAAGCGTTAAGCCCGACACACGTATCTACAACATTGTTATAGATGCCCTATGCAAAGATAGAATGATAGATGCTACTATTAGCCTTTTCGAAGAGATGAAACAAAAAGGCATGCCTCCGACAATTATCACATATAATGTGTTGATTGATGGTTTGTGTAAGTTTGGTAAGTGGGAAAAGGTTAGGACTTTGTTCTTAGAAATGATAAATCTTAATATTTATCCCGATGTGCACACCTTGACCATGGTGATAGATGGATTATGCAAAGAAGAAAAATTGAAGATGCTGAGAAGGTAATGATACACATGATCGAAAAAGGTGTAGAGCAAGATGTGGTCACCTACAATGTGATAGTTGATGGATATTGCTTACGCGGTCAAATGGATAGAGGAAGGAGAATTTTTGATTCCATGATTGATAAGGGCATTGAGCGTAGCATTATTAGCTATAACATATTAATAAATGGATACTGTAAGAAAAAGAAATTAGATGAGGCCATGCATTTGTTTCACTATACTTCTCAAAATGGATTGAAAGCTAGCATTGTTACCTACAATACTATCTTGCCATATCTATTTTAAGTTGGAAGAACTGACATTGTGCAAAAATTCTATGATGATATGCTTTCTCAGACCTGATTTATGCACTAATTGCGTTTTGCTCTGTGGTTATATTCAGAATGGACTTGTTGAGAAAGCTATGTTGCTTTTTCATGAGTTGGAAAAAGAGAGAGAAGCTATTGATATTGAACTTTACACTGTAATTATTGACGGATTGTGCAAAAATGGTTAGCTCGACAAAGCTCATGCTATTTTTGAGAAGCTTTCTTTGATTGGATTATTTCCTAATGTGATTACATACACTATAATAATAAATGGATTATGTCTAGAAGGGTTGTTAGATGAAGCCAAAGATATGCTAAGAAAAAATGTAGGACAATGGTTGTTCGCCAAACAACTACACTTTCAATGTTATTGTGCGAGGATTTCTCAAGTTTGGCAAAACTAGTGAAATGACAACTTTTTTAAAGGAAATGACTGAAAGGGGATTCTCATGTGATGCAAGTACAGTAAAGTTACTAATAGCTGCTATAGCGAAGGATCCTTCTTTGCTTAACATGATACCTCAATTTTGCTTGGTAAATAAGAAGTGATTTATTTCACTTGATTTATTCAGCTATACTTATTTTCACATTTATCGTCTTTTTTTAACACAAGAGGCTGAACTGAATGAAGGATGACTCTACCATCTAGTTAAAGCACTTGTATATTTTATTTTCTCAAACATTAAAGTTCTGTGTGGAAGTTAAGTGACTATTGATATAATCTTAACAGGGTAATTCTTTGTTATGCCCCTTAGTTATTCTTTTTGTTCTATTCGGTTGTGATTGCTGTCTTCTTCAGGATTAGGTGAAAAAAATATGACTTCGGGCTTGGAAATTCATCATGTTCCCACTATTGGTCTAGTCTAAGTTAACTCTGTCCATCTCTCTCTCTCTCTCTCTTTCTCTCTATCTATCTATCTCTCTCTCTCATGTGGAGAAACAGATTAACTTGAGACAATCTTTGCATGCTGTGATTGAGCAGATTTATCTTTTCAGAAGCACGCCAAGTCAGTTAATCTTTAGACACTTGTTCTGGAGAGAGATTATTGCAGAATATGTTTGCGCATATTTTGGATTAGAAATCCAAAAGATCATCAGTAAGTAATCTATTAAGTTGTTGGTCAAACGTGCAAGTAGAGGCAGATGCAGCCTTATACACAATGGGTTCAAATGATCCAAGACCTCTAGTGAGCACACATGAGATGCATACCTCATTAGTGCATGATTTATTCTAATGATGGTTTTTTGATTCATAACAAATGGATTGATTACTTTTTAGAAATGAAAAGGGGATCCTTTGTTAGTTATTCTATTCACAATCATAGCTGGGACGGAAATGCAAATATCCCAACCAAATTTGAGCTATAGAAGGGCTAGTCCTATTTCTTTTGCTTCGTTTGCAGACTTCATCATGTTGGTGACATAGAACCCAGTACCAATAACCAATAGAGCACCAAGAGTCATTTTCATCATTTTTCTTGGATTCTTCAGGTTTGCAGCCAAACCACTAGCATATCTGGTTGTTTCACCATCAGTCGCATCGTCTGATGATTACTCTCAGATTCACTCTAAGAACTACTTTTATCCGCTGGGGATATTTTTGGAAGACTTTTAGCTTCTTTTGCTGGCTCTTTAGCAGGGGTATTATTATCCTGCTTAGTGAATTCATCTCTAAAGGGGTACCCCTTTAAGGTTTTGGTACACTAATTTAAAAATTTATCCAGTAACAGTAGTCATTTGGGACTTTAAATTTTATTACTCTTATCTTTTCTTTAGACAAGTCAGTCATGACTATTGGCCTTCTTGGAGTAGTATGGGCGGAATTGGGAAGAATAGTTAATCCTTCTTGTTTTCTAAAGTGACATATTTTGAACCAATTTTTGTTGTGTGACTAAAGTGGCAAATAAAAGCATGGGAGGGAGTAATATTTTTCTTTCTTTAACGAGATTCTAATCTTCTTGGCCCTTGTTTGTGACAGATTTAGACCCACGCTATTCAAAGTTCAATGACATCATCATCCATTCAATTATCGACATGGATGTTGACGTGATGGAAGCGAAGAAAGTGGCTTACCTGCGGTTAGTGGGGAGCACTGGAGAGGAGGAGAAGAGAGCGAACATTGCGAGATATAAGGTTGCTAGGAAGGAGGCAAAGATGGCAGTGACGGAGGCAAAGACGACAGCTTTTGCTCGTTTGTATGAGGAACTAGGGAACAAAGGCGGGGAGAAGAAGTTACTCCGACTCACTAAGGTGAGAGAGAGGACGGCTCGGGATTTGAACCAAGTGAGGTGCATAAAAGATGAGGACGGCAAAGTTTTGTTGGGGGATGACCAGATAAAGAGGAGATGTCAGACCTACTTTCATAAACTTTNGGACGGTGTCTATTTCAGACAACTAGTTCGGGTTCATGCCGGGGCGATCTACCATAGAAGCTATTCACTTTATTAGGAGTATGGTGGAACAATACAGGGATAAGAAGAAGGATCTCCACATGGTGTTTATCGATCTAGAGA